TTCGCGGCACCAAGCGGGTCGACAGCAAGAACGCAGACACGGAATCAGAGAACGAGAACTTGGCCAAGTTCACCATCGACATGACCGCCCTGGCGAGAGAGAAGAAGATCGACCCTGTGATCGGCCGAGAAGAAGAGATCCGACGGGTCGTCCGAATCCTGTCCCGCAGAACAAAGAACAACCCGGTCCTGATTGGTGAGCCTGGTGTCGGCAAGACAACCGTCGTCGAGGGCCTGGCCCAGCGTATCGTCAACCGAGACGTGCCCGACAATCTCAAGGCCTGCAAGCTCCTCTCGCTCGACGTCGGTGCTCTTGTTGCTGGCAGCAAGTTCCGTGGTGAGTTCGAGGAGAGAATGAAGGGTGTTCTCAAGGAGATTTCCGAGTCCAAGGAGATGATTGTCCTCTTTGTGGATGAGATCCATCTCCTCATGGGAGCCGGCTCATCCGGCGAAGGCGGCATGGACGCTGCCAACCTGCTCAAGCCCATGCTTGCCCGCGGACAGCTGCACTGCATTGGCGCAACCACGCTGGCCGAGTACCGCAAGTACATCGAGAAGGATGCTGCCTTTGAGCGTCGATTCCAGCAGGTTATCGTCAAGGAACCATCCATCACCGAGACCATCTCCATCCTGCGTGGCTTGAAGCCCAAGTATGACAGCCACCACAAGGTCAGCATTCTCGACAGCGCCCTCGTGGCTGCTGCCAACCTTGCGGCACGATACCTCACAGCTCGACGCTTGCCCGACTCGGCCATCGACCTCATCGACGAAGCCGCCGCGGCGGTTCGCGTCGCCAGAGAGTCGCAGCCTGAGATCATCGATCACCTCGAGCGCAAGTTGAGACAGCTCAAGATTGAGATTGCGGCTCTGGAGAAGGAGCATGACGAGGCGTCCCAGATCCGTCTGGCCCAGGCCAAGAAGGACGCGCAGAATGTGGAGGAGGAGCTGCAGCCGCTCCGCGAGAAGTACCAGAACGACATCAAGCGGAACGACGAGATCCACCAAGCCAAGGACAAGCTCGACGACTTGAAGAGGCGCCTCGAGGATGCCATCAACGCCGGCAACCACCAGCGGGCCGCCGATCTCAAGTACGGCGCCATCCAGGAGCAGGAGGCGCTGATCAAGAAGTTGGAGGAGAAGAAGAACGCTGCAGACGTTGCCCTCAACGCCAGCGGCGAGAACACTGTCATGGTCACCGACATCGTGACGGCTGATAACATCAACGAGATCGTTGCCAAGTGGACCGGCATTCCCGTCACCCGACTCCGCACGTCGGAGAAGGAGAAGCTCATTCAGATGGAAAAGGTCCTGGGCAAGGTTGTCGTTGGCCAGAAGGAGGCTGTCCAGTCAGTCGCCAACGCCATCCGACTTCAGCGGTCTGGCCTCAGCAACCCCAACCAGCCGCCCAGCTTCCTCTTCTGCGGTCCATCGGGTACCGGCAAGACGCTTCTTACCAAGGCCCTTGCCGAGTTCCTGTTTGACGATCCCAAGGCCATGATCCGGTTCGACATGTCCGAGTACCAGGAGCGGCACTCGCTGAGCCGTATGATTGGTGCTCCCCCAGGATATGTCGGCCACGACGCTGGTGGCCAGCTGACTGAAGCCCTTCGACGCAAGCCATTCTCCATCCTGCTCTTTGACGAAGTGGAGAAGGCAGCCAAGGAGATCCTGACGGTGCTCCTCCAGCTCATGGACGATGGTCGCATCACGGATGGCCAGGGCAGAGTCATTGACTGCAAGAACTGCATCGTCGTCATGACTTCCAACCTGGGTGCCGAGTACCTCGTCCGCCCCGGCGTGAAGGAGGGCAAGGTGGATGCCAACACCAAGGAGCTGGTGATGGGCGCCCTCCGCAACTACTTCCTGCCCGAGTTCCTCAACCGTATCAACTCGGTCGTCATCTTCAACAGGCTGACGCGCAAGGAGATTCGCAAGATTGTCGACTTGCGCATCAGCGAGATCCAGAAGCGCTTGGAAGACAACGGCCGCAAGGTTACAATCTCGGTATCAGAAGAAGCCAAAGACTACTTGGGCAACGCCGGCTACTCTCCTGCATACGGCGCTCGGCCGCTGGCTCGGTTGATTGAGAAGGAGGTGCTCAACAAGCTCGCCATTCTCATCCTCCGCAACGCCATCCGCGACGGCGAGACCGCGCGCGTGGAACTTGATGACAACAAGATTGTTGTGCTGTCGAACCACCCCGACAGCGGAACAGACGATGATGACGAAGACATGTTTGATGAGGAGGATGTGGAGGATGTGATTGGAGAGGACATGGATGAGGACATTTATGATTAAGCGGTTGACAAAAGTTTGGCCGAGAAGTTTGAGAAGTCTTAGGTTTCATACATATGGGCATACGGAGTTAAAGGTTTTTGGCAAGCATGGTTTCTTTGAGTGGTTTTCAAAATTGGTCCTCTACTCTTGAGGTAGTTAGAAATGAGATGAAATTTTTATTACAAAGCAAGACTCCCTTTCCAAATTGATGTGACTGTTCAATGGTATATTCGTTAAGAAAGATGGAAAAAAGCCTCTCCCAATTAGATGAGGCTCATCAAGACGCCATCCTCGCCCGTCCAGCCAAAGTCGTCCATGAACATGGACCAATCTACGTCTTGGAAGGGATCGCTGGCCGGCACATTGTTGGTCATGGGCTGATGCTGCGCAACGGTATTCGAACCCGAAGCCTGATCGGTGCGGAACTCTGCATTTTTGACAGTGTCAGACAAGAACAACTCCAAAAGAAAAAGAGCGTGTAGACAGATAAGTGTTGTAAACGGGGAAGAATGAGGGGCAAAAGGAGAAAATAAGAAAGAAAAAGGGGGGGAAAAACTGACGAATAATTTCCAGACACTTATCCACGCCATCCGTGCTCTTCTGCGCGGTGAGCAAGCCGTTCTTGAAGCGCTCGAGACAGGCGTAGGTGATGCCGGCGCCGCCGCGGCTGACCCAGGACGGGGGCACGGAGTCGAACTTGGGGACGTAGCGGCGGAAGGAGCAGAAGGTTTCGAGGATGACGGAGGCGCGGTACCAGATGTCTGATTCTTTGACGGAGCAGCGCAGGACGGCGGTGTAGGACTGCTGGGCGAGGAGGGAGGCTTCTTCGGGGGTGAAGGTTGTGGTGGTGGTGCTGCTATTGACGGTGGTGGTGGTGGTGTTTGGATGGAGGGCGAGGCTGTTGTTGTTGTTGTTGGGGTTGATGTCGTCGTCGTCGTCGGATACTACTAGGG